CAGATTTCGTGAGAGTGCTTTCCTCCTCGACCTCGTTTTTCTTCTTCTATTGCATGGTGGGGAGTTGATCAGCAACCTTGTATATTTTTGATTTACAGCTTTCGTGACTGCAGGGATTCATATTCTTGGTTCTTTCGGTAAAGTCACCTAGAAGGGAAACAATAAAATAATGAAAATGTAAAACAATAAAATCTCACGACGTTTCGACTGCAACACACAGATATCACTCACCACTGATATCACTCACCACTGGTATCACTCACCACCGATATCACTCACCACCGATATCACTCCCCACTGGTATCACTCACCACCGATATCACTCACCACCGATATCACTCACCACTAGTATCACTCACCACAGATATCACTCACCACTGATATCACTCACCACTGGTATCACTCACCACAGATATCACTCACTACTGATATCACTCACCACTGGTATCACTCACCACCGATATCACTCACCACCGATATCACTCACCACTAGTATCACTCACCACAGATATCACTCACTACTGGTATCACTCACCACTGGTATCACTCACCACCGATATCACTCACCACCGATATCACTCACTACAGATATCACTCACCACCGTTATCACTCACCACTGGTATCACTCACCACTGGTATCACTCACCACTAGTATCACTTACCACCGATATCACTCACCACATATATCACTCACCACAGATATCACTCACCACAGATATCACTCACCACTGGTATCACTCACCACTGGTACTGCGACCAGGAATAAAAACCCGGGTGGCAGGGCTCATTTTGCCGTGCATTAAACCACTGTGTCACTGCTTTCACCACAATTGTATATTATATACTATCGCAATGTTTGAAACTACTCTCACCTTGAATGTGTACATCAAAAGATTTTGAGCCTAGATAGCTGCTCGGTGTAACGTGTTTCTTTGAGCATCGCATTTCTCTCCATTGTCTCACATTCCAAGCCCCTATTTTGTCCACATGACTCACATCCGTGATTAACCCGAACTCATCCCTGCTCCTGACATCCGTTGACAAGACCCATGCGGGCATTAGTGAATTCCCAAAAGCCATAGTCATGCCCCTCTCTCTTGTGTATGGTCTTCATTTAAAGATTCCCTAACATACCTTTTGCCTCTTTCATGGTGACTCAATATGTGCAGGCTGGTGGTGGAATTCACAAACCTTGGCATGAATCTGCCCACAGCTTTACCAAGTGAAATTCATTTTGCATTTATGGGTAACAGTACAGGTGCAGCCCTGCTAATTGCTCTGTCGTGCCACTGTTGGAGGAAGGGCCTCCAACACCGTTGAAGAAAGGGGTCTCCAACAGTGGCCCTAAATGATCCGTATGACTTATGGAACAACTGACGGGGCCACTGGGTGAACTTTAATGGGCCATTATGGGCCTTCTAGAGGTATATTTTACCCACCCTACACTGGCCAGACGTCTTGGAAGGGGGTGGGTGTACTCACACCACAGGCGACGTTCCGCCATGCTTATACTGCTCAGTGGATGGACGGTGAGGGAGGTTTAAGAAACCTCGACATTGTTTCAACGGCTGCACCAAGAGTTGGAATCGAACCGGTGACCTTTGCCTTGCAAGTCGAGCGTACAAACCATGCGAGTGTGGCAGCTTTGCGTTGTTATTGTGCACATGAGTATATTTGTTCATTTGCATACTCGGATAATGAATGCATTATGTATATACATACATTTATATTTTAATTGTTTATGGAAAAAAGTGCCTTATGTAAACTGGCAGATGTGTTGCTCTTACTGTACAGCTGTGCAAATGTTTTTTACGCAAAAAAATCTAATGTGGATTTCAGAGTGACTGCTTGGGTGTGGTTTCCAAAAATTAAAACACATTGGAATTTATTTGGAGGCGGGGGGGGGGAACAAGGTGTGGGTTTACTTTAACTGTGTGGTTGCAATTATGGTTTTTGAAACAAATCGCGCGTGTATTTTTTTGGCAGGATGCAACAGTGACCACACCATCGGTCACTTTTAGTTTTTCCCCGGTAGGAATTCGCTCCTTTTAAAAGGCCACCGCACGTATCTGCAGAATTTGCTGCGCGACTGCAGTTAAAGAATTTATCAGTTTGATAAACTTGAACTGTAAATCCTCACGACTATAAATATTTGTTCCATATCGCAGCTAATAAAGTCTCCTAAATTTATGGACCAAAATATTATTTTAGTTTTCATTGGTGAAACAGTCCCTTGCGTGTTTATTTATGTATGATGTTATGTTGTTATATCTCCTGATAAATCAATTTACAGCTATATAAATTAGACAGCCTGGCGGTTACATAACATGTGATTTTTCACGAATGATCTATAAAAATATTACATTGTTCACCATCACGGAGAATTCAGGGAAATAATAAATAGACAAAACTCTGTCCATAAAATAGCATCATCATAATTTAGACCATCAACCTTACAGACATTCTGGGCAAGTGTTATCTTAGTTTGTACTGTTTTAAAAGTCAGAGTCTTGTTTTTATTACCAATAATCCATCACAGTGGCGCTTGTTGCATTGTTCTGGGCAATTTTACTGATTTTGCACTGAACGAGCCCCCCCCCCCCCCCCCCCCCTTGTATAGGTCGATAAACCTTGCTGACAATACCAGGAAAACCGGCAGGATTTGTTTAACGTGTCCGGCTCTACTGATGAGACTCCAACAGTCAAAACTGACCCAGAGTGTTCATGCATGAACAAATGCTGCAGGAAAACATTGGTTCGGAGGTTGATACAATTCTAATTCAAGTGGATGGGCAGATGCGTGGTTCTTTATTTATGTCTGTATATTAAAGATTCTCAAGCTCTATTGAGAAAACCCCGGGGCTCTTATAGCCAAACTAAGACAATCTTCAGAGGGCCAAGAGAAAAATCCTGCATGCTTCAAAAAATGCAAAGTGTCCTCATGCATAAATGTACCTTGGGTGAATCTTATTTCCATTGGTGGCCCTGAGCCAGTTGTCCAAAATCCACATGTTCATGGTGGGGGTCTGCAACTTCATAGGATGGCCACAGTTAACTTCCCTGCAAAAGAGTACTCATTTTTGCCACCCCAGACGGAATAAATGACCCAAATTGACTTCCAAACAAAAAACATGAAATCACACCTTTTCAATTGTGAGTCAAACACTCTATCACAGCACATATTGGCTAACACGGTGGCCTAACTAGTATTACTGTTGTCAGTTTCAGACCTAAAACCTGATAAAATTTTAACCACAACTCTATGTCCTCCTTCTAAGCTGAGCTGCCTCAGCTTGTGCCATTGGGTGAATCAGTGGCTGCTTGAGGCCCTAAATGATCCACATGACTGATGGGCCCAACTGACGGGCCATTGGGTGGACTTTAATTGGCCATTATGGGACCTGCAAAACCGTAATCTCACACCATTATGAAACAACGTTGGGTGCTGAGCTGTGTCCACCCTCCCATTCCTTTTTCTGTGTCCCTTGAGGCCTAGTGACTGGTCCGGGCAAGGGGTACTTTTCTCAGCAGTAATCAAGGCGAGGTGGGTGGCTGGTGGCCTGCTATGACATAGATCAAATCAATGGTGACAATGAATCTCAATGGGCTTGCACCATTCCAAATTGAACTGCCACCTGTTTGGGATTTTGGTTAAAAATGTGCAGCGCACTACAGTGAATGGCATGGCTGAAGTAATTGTATGCGATTGCTATATGCACCAGCTTTAAAAAAAGAGATGGATGGCATACCCACATTGAATCCATTTACATACGAGCCAATAAAAGCTTCACATATTTCTCTACGTGCACGCACGCACGCACAAACGCACATATACACCCACACACGCGATGTGTCCTTAGGACTTATAATCGTTCAACACAGACACAAGCAATGAATTGTGCTCTAGTTGAGAGTACCATGGAATTCGAGGTGGCTTGGTGACTCTGGGGTCAGAGCACTGAATGAGACATGCTGCGAACCTGCATTCTGATTCCGGTTTCAGAATCCTGTGGTTATACCAGGTTTTTTTTGTTTGTTTAAGTAATGTGAGTTTATGGTCTCTTTTCAGTCACCAATGACTGCTCAAAGTCCCACCGCCGGCTCCCATTATGTTGCCTGGTAGGATGTGTTTTGCGTGATTCGTTTACCGTTCTGGTACTTTGCACTACTATCATGTTTTTGTATTGTTTGTTGCTGTAACGTTCTTACCCCGTTCCCCTACTGGACATCTGTAAAAAAAGAGCTTGATTGCTCATCGAATTCCTCCTGCAGTATTTACAAATATTCAGATTCTGATATCTCTGGGGTTTCAAAAAATGTGACGCATCCCAGCTCAAAGTATAACAATAAAAAAACACATTCGTTTTAATGACACGTGACAAACACTCTTTTTGCCGAGCATTCGACATGTAAACCTGAGCATGAATAAAGCGGCCAACTGAATTATTTCGGAAGTTGTTCTATGGCATAGGATCTCACGAGTCTTGCCGGATACGTGGTGGTGGTGCTGGTGGTGGTCGTGCAATCCTAGCTGTGAGAATTTACGGACGGTAATGTCTCCCGACGCATTGCTTATAGCAGAATTGGAATTTAATTTTAAAACAAATCTCTACCTTTAAAATGTTGAAAGTACTACTATACGCGTGGAACCGTTGTGATTCCTCACTACTGTTGTAACATTTTTAAAATGTAGTCGTAGTTAGTCTATCAAAACGTATCCGATGCATTGTGTCTTTAGAGAACCGATAACATCCATTGCAGCTCCATTAATAAATGCATTAATGTACTCAACTTAGTTGACTCAGTCAACAGACGCATTGCACTGCGGTACGTGCACAGCAGCTGATCAACGTCTCACTGGATTCGCGGTAATGTAGAAAACAGACAGCGGAACGCGGTCAACGCACGAGCTGGTCGCAACACGTGTCACTGGAATGCAGAGCGAGCCCACGCTCATAAACCTTCCTCGCTCTCTCCCCTGCCCTGCCGCTCGATACAGACGTCTCCCCGTGGCTCCATAACTTCACCTTCTCGGGAGCGGTCAATTTCTCACAGATCGCCTTTGATCCCAGCCGGGGTCAGCTGATCGTTGGAGCCAGGTGAGCAAGGCCCCAACAACGGGAAACGGCCAGCAACAAACAGCAAATAGATACAATGAAACACGTTGCTTGAATTGAGCAACGTTATTTTTTTAAATTGTTGTTATAAGAGCTTGGGGAAAATTGACGATGGGAGGGAATTACAAAGTTGTGCAGTGCGAGGGAATAAGCAGAAAGAGAAGTGTTGTGACCTACAGTGTGGTGAGTGGGTGAGTAAGTGAGTGGATGAGTGAGTAAGTGAGTGGATGAGTGAGTGGGTGAGTGAGTGCGTGGGTGAGTGGGTGAGTGAGTGGGTTAGTGAGTGGGTGAGTGAGTTTCTGTTACCTACAGTGTGGTGAGTGGGTGGGTGAGTGGATGGGTGAGTGAGTGAGTCAGTGAGTGGATGAGTGAGTGGGTGAGTGAGTGCGTGGGTGAGTGAGTGCGTGAGTGGGTGAGTGAGTGAGTGGGTGAATGAGTGAGTTTCTGTAACCTGCAGTGTGGTGAGTGGGTGGGTGGGTGAGTTAGTGTGTCAGTGGGTGTGTGAGTGGGCGAGTTAGTGGGTGGGTGAGTGTCTGGTAGACCACGTCCTCAGCATTGGTGGAGGAATTAATCAAATAATTCCAGATGTACTGTAGCTTGGTTTAGCTGGGCAACAGCTGGGCTCCGAGTTGTAAATAATCACAAGTTCAATCCCCAGCAAAGGTTGACTGAGCCCCATTGCTACCATCGGTACCATCAATATAGCTCGCCGCAGTAATAGTAGTGGTAGCAGAACCAACTGCTCTGGTACCACTACTGCCATTGCTACGACCACGATTTCCACCACCACCATCAACCACAATTACCACAACCATTGGCAACATTTGCATTGCCTCCATAGTACATATGCCGGCTACACCATAATTATTACCACCCCCACCATTATTATTACCACCCCCACCATTATCATTACCACCCCCACCATTATTATTACCACCCCCACCATTATTATTACCACCCCCACCATTATTATTACCACCCCCACGTAGCCCTACTCCGTCATCGGAGAACGTTGAAATTCCTCAAACCTGTTTGGAAAAGGCCTGGGACACTGTCAGTACATTGCATTGTTATTATCTTATCCTAATTCCCTATTGTGTGTGTCATTGTCCGCAGGAACTACCTCTTCCGGCTCAGCATGTCTAATCTCAGCCTCATCCAGGTGAGTGGCGGCTGTCTTGAATTTTATTGATTTCCACCGTAGACAATTCCTCATAGTCAGAAGGACCCTGGGTTGGATTCCGGCTCAGGCGTCTATGTGCGTGGAGTTTGTACGTTCTCCCCCTGTTCTGCATGGGTTTTCTTCAGGTTCTCTGGGATTTTTTCCCAAAGCATACAACATACAATGTAACATACAATATTGATTCTAGATTTGAAGTTTCCGTGACTGCAATCATCCATACGAGTACATACAATATTGATCAAACATACCAATGCGGAAAAAACCCCCCTGCAAAATCCTCAATTGGGATCACACACAGCAGCAGCATTGATCCCCTACTGTGTCAGCTTGGCAGGACCCTCCTGAAAAAGAGTCTTGAGACTCGGTGAGGTTTTTCTGGGTAAACATGCACAATAATAATAATAATATATGAATCGTAAGGACAATGGAAATAGGCTCTCGCGTGTATTGAATTCCAATGGCTACATCCATAGACTTCTGTGCAACCATTTAACAACAGCTTATGTTCGTATATTACTATTGCACAATTGCATTCTTCTTTTGTAGTGTCCCGTGGAATGTAAATGCGTAGAGTGAACACGCTTCAGCACCACTGCTGTTAACGCTGCCATAAAACAGAAATAGGCTAAGTTCTTCAGGCAATGGCCCATCTTAGAGCGGAGAGAAAGGACAGTCAGTGTAACATAACAAATAACTTTCTGTCAGAGCAGCTGGCCTCGTATCGCTGTGCTTACAGCACTTGAATCAAATCCCGATCGTGGAATTAATAGAACGAGTATAATTTCGCGGGAAATTCAATCATGGTTGTTCTCTTCATAGTCTGATCCCTGTTAGAGCAAAATGTGGAATGTCCACCACTTGTTCAGGATGGTTTTGAGGCCTTCGTCCACGAGCACACCGACCGTAAGTGATGATGACGGTAATGTTCAAGGCCACCGGTGGAGATGAGCACCAGTCCTCGGTTTCGTTTGAGCAGGGAGACACTTTGACTTTTGAAATGTGAAAAAAAACCCAACACAAATCACAACACAGACGGCGGCACTCTGGGAGGTCGGTGGGTTAAACGTATGGCACGAGCTGCGTCGAAATCGCTAAATGGTTTCACGCGTTTGCCCGCTGGCCGTCGGGTGCTGGCGATGCCAAGCAGAAGATGCCGCGCTCTGCGATAGCGAGTGCTGTGAGAGCGCACGGTCGGAATGGTTCTCTCAAAACACGGTCACGCTCTCAAGCAGTGCTGATAGGGCTTTGCCGGTTCAACAGTTGTAATTTTTTTTTTTAAAGAGTACTCTTCATGGAACACCGCAAACCAAAAATAAAATAAAATCAGAGTGCGTCTCCGCACTCAAATAACCGTAGGGAAGGCGCTCGTCGCCTTTGGCAGCCCAGAGCCAGTGATGAAAATCCCACATTTCCATTAAGGTGTTGCCATTCTGCCTCGAGGAAAACTACTGTTGGCTTCGACCAAAGTGGTACTTGTTGGCAACCTCAGAGAGATGATGATGGGCTGAGTCGCGACCTCCTGATTGAGTCGAACCTTTTAACGACAGTTGTTCCCGGCCAGCAAACAAAACACACACTTACAGACACCGACCACGTGTTATGACGTAGACATGTCACTGCATGTATCCAGCGGTTAATCTGGATTTTGACTCTCACAATGCATGCATTGAATTCGTGGATGTAAATGTATTGCATGCTGACATTATACATGCTAAAGTTACATTTGGGGTAACGATTCGAATGAGGAAGCACAAACAAGTAAAAACAAACCAGAAACATTACAGATGGGTCAACAAAAACACGATTGAAAATGTTTTATTCGTTCTTGAACTGAACAAGTCTCTCCTGAGAGTTCATCCAATTAGCAGGGGGGTGGAGGGGTGTGGATGGTGGATTGAGTGAATAGTTACATGCCCGATTAAAACGTTTGCATTCCACGACTGATTCCCCATATGCTTGTGACTTTATAGGGCTGACTATGCACAAAAGGGTTCAGAAGCGGTGGTGGATTTTGACCAATCCGTTCGACCTCAGGTTTTTGTTTTGTATGCTTCTCCCCTGGTTCCTTTTCTTCAATTGTTTTTTTCCCTCTCCTCATTCCTGGTATTCGCTTGACCTTATTCCCCCGGCTCCCAGAATGTCACCTACCCAACCACCACCATCCCACCTACCTTACCACAACGCCACCTACCCCACCACCATGCCGCCTGTTAAACCACCACCCCACCTACCCCACCACCACCCCGGATACATACTGGCAAGCCTTCTCTACTGTTCGCTGTGTTCCTTTCCCAGAGTGAGCGTGGCAAAAACGCATTGCAGTGGAAAAAGCCGAAAAAATGCTTATTTTGATGCCGACTGGTGAAATGTCGAGGTTGAATGGAGGCTTGGGACACAAGCACACACACACACACACCAGGCACACAGAGAGGCAACGATCCCCCATTTAGCCTTATTGACTGCAGGGGCAACATCACACCCTAATAGCTGTTGTGACCAGGTTCTGGTGTTCATACGCCGCACCGACCACTCATTTAATGCTGAGTCAACCTAAGCGAGGTGCAGGATTGACAATAATTGCCACTGATGCTGTAGATGGATGCGAATCGAAGGCAGAGTGCAAGGACCATTTCACATTCGCAACAACGTAATGTACGCACATTATGTTGAACCTTTCCCACACCGTACGTAGCCAACCATGCTAATCGGAGGTGCAGGACCACAGTGCTTGTGCCAGGCTATGTGTACTTTGAGGCAATGTGAATGTCAAAGGCACGCTGGCAGGAGGTCACAGGACATGCCCAGGTGTTATGGGTTGGCTGACTGAAGTGACCGGCAGATGCACCAACTGGGCTTCCCACTGCGCCAGCTTGCAGTGTTTTAGCCACCCGGTGCTCTGCACAGGGGCATTCACACCCCATGCAAAAATACAAAGAACTTCCACGTAGCCTTTTACACAGTTACTATTGGGGTAAGCGACACTAGCAAGCACTGATGAAGGTTTACTTGGTACACAGGGAGTGTGCAGCATGCGTTTGTCCTCCTAATATCCACAATTTGCGAGTCATAAAATGTACTAATTTTATACTCGGCAAACTTCAAGGAAGGGCCAGGCTAGGTTCAATTAACAATTGCCAGTTGTGTGCTCGGCCAGGAGTGAAACTTGGGTCATTGGGATTTTCACGCAGTGCATTAATCACTGCACCACCCCTTCCCACATACAGCGAATAGTTTTAATGACGGGGGGTGGGGGGGTGGGGGGGGGCGGCTGCCAGACTCAAGTGCAGAAGCTCTTTTTATGAAACGAACGACTCAGCCACAAATGATAGCTCAATGAAGTGGCTCATCCTGTGAAAATGTAAAGCAGCAGAATTATCTAAGAAACATAGAATATGATTGTGTCTCGGTGTGGAGTTTAAGGGACCAGAAGGAAAGCAATCACGGGGGATGGGAAGGAGCAGAGGGCATTCCTGTCACCCCTCATCAGTGCCCTACCTCATTACAGACAAATTCACACCTCATTGGTCACCCCATGCCCTTATAAATCTCAACGTTCATCCTACAAAGTCCCATCACAAGGGAGAAACACAAACAAATAGACAAAATAACTTTTTTTTGCCCGGATTTAAACGGCCGTACGCCGTATGAAACCTGAAAACTCAATTTCCCTGGACACCGAATACGGGGTAAACCGTATGGGGTGATAGCTGTGAGAGGACACACACAACTGGTCAGTGCATCTATGCAAGGATTTCATTGATTAGACAAAGCCAGAACATACAAAACATCAGCTCTCTTTCAAAAAAGTTATTATCGACACGTGGTGCAGCTAATAGTGGACGTCTGTGAAAAAGAGCTTCATAGCTCATCGGATTCTTCCAGTGTGAATACATATTCTGAAAATAACGTCGCATGTGTGTGCTGTATAACAGAAGCCCTGCCTAAAGCCACGGTAACTTTATCTCTTGTTGTTGTTGGGGGTTTTCACACTTGGGCTGGTCTCCAAAAATGTCCACACAAAAAAATGACCCTTTCACAAAAGCGCAGTTATATTACTAAGATTTGTTTTGTTTTGCTCCTATTTAAAGGTCGCTGAGCACAAGGAAGGTTTAATTGTATTTTACTACAAAAATGCATGAAAGTTGTATTAATTACGTTAATTGTAAAATAAACACAAATTAAAACAAGGACTGCATTTATGAAAATGAACACGGCTCTGTGTGAACGTGGTTACGTTGTTTGCCGATAAAAAATACATTTTTTTTTATGGCCACCGTGCGATATTTAGTTATTCCCACGTTTAACACTACTCACGTAAAACATGAACGCATTTTGTGCCCGGCGCTTTTGGAAAAAAATAATAATTGGAATCAAATGTGCACACGCTTTTTTTCTGTCTTCTCCCTGAGTAAATGTATTCCCCAAACGCAGCTTCACAGATCTCGGGACTTTACGCTCCTTCGCTTGACAATCCAGGGACATTTTGTTTTTGCCTCGGGTTAAAATGAAACGGGCAAGGTGGATTTGAAAGGCTGCGCGAGAACCAGTTTTTTTTCTTTCTCCGCAACAAAAAAGTAAAAGGAGGTCTCGCTCGCTCGCTCTCTCGCTCTCAGAGCTCACAACCAAAGTGAGGATCTAGTGACGGGTGGTTTGAGAATGGCCGCTTCTCTTTGGGAAAGCAGGGACGTTGCGACGACGGAGACTGCTGCTGCTGCTGCACGCTCTGGTCCGAGAGTGATGGATGGCACTTTTGGTTTTTGTTTTGAGAAAACAGAGCCGCGCATTTTTTTTGTACGCACACGCTTTGTCTCCTTTGCCCGGTTGCCCCCTGCGCACTCCGGGGCCGAGGTGCACGCTCGCGCGCTTTGCTCGACGCCAAGAAGACGCGGGCAATGTTGTCACGGCCGCAAGGTCAAAATCTCGGATGGGGCTCAAACGCAGCTCATCGTCCTTGCCGTCGCCATCGTCACAAACGTCGT